CATACCATGCAATGGGTAATTGTGCTGCAGAGAAAATAGCTGCACTATTTAATAGCAGAGACATGTAAATACTTTGCATTACATTTTGAATCCACTACCTTAAACGAGCTCCAATTTACAGACAGAAATGTCAAAAATGTTACAACTATCCCCGGTCTCCCCTATATATTTATTGAGTTGCATTAGATTTCATAGCATTTCTGTCTAAACATTAAGCAGACAGATAAACCTGATTACAAAATATGACAAAATCTGTAAATAAAACATTCACTCCACTGTTTTCAGCTTTCTTCAGAGTTTTCAAAAGTATTTGCAACTTAAAAGGGGAAAAAGCAAGATATTATGTTCACATAATCATTCAATTTGCTGCTCTGGTAAATGAATAGTTAGGCACACAGGCGACACTGCAGCACACCTGATATGACATGCATTGCACTCTTTCCTATTGTAAGCCATGATCCCCACAGCTTTAGTGATGGGCCCACTGGCTCTTTCTTACCTAACCACACCTAGCCACTAACACTGCTGGTGCCATTTTCCCCTAAATGATAAAAATGCTATCTTTTGTAATTGCTGACTTGAGCCAGGCCCTGTGGGTTGGCTATGTATATTTTTTCCTTTGCTTCAGATAAAAAAAACCAAACCACTGGCTAACTGAGCAATTAGCATATATCGGCTCAATGCTAGCATTTTGTGGATAAAAAGGAAAAATCTGTAAGAGAAACAAAATGTCATCAATATTGTTTAATTTCAATGTGACCATATAAACAGCGCTATAAGATAAAATTAGGACTTTGTCTAGAGGCATAAAAACTTAACTTTGATTTGGGACTGTAACACAAGCATTTTGAATTAGAACCTTTTTCAGAAGAACAACATGAAGTGGAATGTATAAAAACAAGTAAAAAGTAACAAATTATGAACAACATCACCATGTGGTGATGGAAAACAGGAATAAAAACATACAATTTAAATGAGTTGCCATAATAACTGCTTGTTTTTTGAAACGATTCTGATTACATAACAATTACAGTAGGGTAAATAGCACAATAATGAATTAAAAGCCATATGGCATGATTTGCCAATCCTGAAGGTGAATCCACTTCGAGAAAACCTAGAGTCCCAGATCTTCTTTCTTTATGCCGCAACCCAACAGGACATTTCCAGATTCCACACACTCTGACACACATGGCGCTAAAATGTAAACGTAAGTTATTATATGAATAAGGAGAGGGCTGATTTTTTTTTTGTGGTTTCAAACAGTGTTTAAAAGAATACTTGATTTGATATTATCATTGTTTCTACCATTTTGAGCATGGATCCATGAGGCAGCCTTCATAGCCAGAAACTCCCACTCATCCTTTGCATCCACCTTGAAAGCATGAAGCCAGACCAGAGCCAGAATGGTGGCCCACACTTCACTGTTGGCCTAATTCATCAAATGAACACATGAAAATCATGATCTCACTTTCTACAGCTTTGCTAACATAAAGTAAAATAAGGCACTGAAATGTGTTCAGTAGAAGTTCTGACTGATGAGAAAACACTTTCTGCAGTGCAGCTCCGTGGATAGTTAGGAGTCATTACAACCAATATTTTATCCTCTAATATATACAGATTTGTTTTCATGCAGAAAGGCAGGGGCTACATTTAGTTTACTTTTGTTATATTGTACTCCCATGTTTTTAATTGCGTCCTATGTTTTTTTGATCAAATTATCCAATCAATTTTGTTTTAAATCTCATATTATCATTTTGTGTTATTACGTAAATTGACAGCCAGTGTTAACTTTGAGAGAAAATGTTGATTTAGTTTTAGTCAGTCGTTTTACTAAACATTTATTTTTATTTATAATTTAGCCGTCTAAATTCAGATGTGGTCAGCTAAATATTATAAGATTATAGTAGATGTAGTTTATTCAGCTGATTAAAATCTAACGTAAAGTGTAAAGCTTTGATGTGTTTTTGCTGGTAAGAGATGCTCCAAATGGTTTACAAAGTATCTTATTTTCTTTGATATCACATGCAAAATCTGTCCAGGTCTTCTTTTCCTTCCGAGTTTTTAACTTTTATCATGTTTTGATGATAAACAGGGAGCATGGGAGTTTCCCCCTGCTTGTCGGTGGCAGATCAAATTGTGGGTGTCTAACTAATCTAACAAGGAGATTCCTTCTGATTTCATCACTTCCAAATTCGCCTCACCTTCCTACACAACTTAATAAGTTCTGATTGGATCTCTTCTCTCTAGAAAATCTCGTTTTTATTCATCAGTGAAACTGTCAATACATTTCAAGTTTTTGTCTTCCTACGTTCATTTTTATTGTGTTCTGTTTTTCCCTCAAAAAGGTATTGATGAAAATTATGACAAAAATGATTAGTCAGCAAAATTCGGCCCACCGTTCTGGGTTTGATCTTTTCCACCTGCTCACTGGTCTTTCCCAGTGCAGTAGCCAGATCTGGATCAAGCAGCCAGGAACCAGACGCCTTCTGGAGGGAGACTAAGTGCATGAAAGGGTCTCTGGGTGGTTGCTTGAGCAACGCAACTGGAAAATCAAAGATTAAACAAAAACCAGACCTCAATATGGTGATAGATAAGAAAACACAATTCTACATGACAGAGGAAAGCAAAAATGTAACAAACAGTGTACATAGGGCTTCCACACAGCAAATTAAGGGTTTTAAACAGAAACTGAAGAAAGACTAAAACTGGAAAGAAAAAAAAGATAGCTTTATTTTTTTCAATGTGTATACCACAAATAGGTTGATATTATTAATGTTTTTATCAAACAATAGCTTCTGAATGTAAACAGCAAATAGATTTGAGATGACGCACACACATACTGAGGATCATATAATTTCCTCTGTGGGTATTATATGAGCCATATTTATAGAACAAATATTTTTTGGAGCTTACAGTCAGCTTTTTTCGTACCCAACATAGATTTTACTGTAAGGTAGGCATTCATCACCATGATGTTTACATAAAAACAGTATATTTAAAATATTATATTTGAATTTGTTCAAATATTGTTTAAAAGTTGGGTCAAGACATTTGCTGAAGAATTTGTCATTAATTGGACTTAAAGGGACTTTCATAGTTTTTACTCTTTTCTACAGAAAAAACTGAAAAGTTCCAAACTATAAAGTGACACATTAACACCTCCTACGGCCCACGTGTACACATATGATCTAAATCCTCTCTAAATCCCACAAAGACATGGCAGCTGGAAATACAAACCACATATAGAGAGACTTGTAAAGAAACTGAGACTTAAACTTCGTTTTTTCTTCCGTAATAAACAGTGCTTTTCTTTTACAGTAAAAAAACGTCTTGTCACTGCAACCTTTTTATCTGTGTTAGATTATGGTGACATTCTGTATATGAACGCTTCTTCTTCATGTCTTCTAATGTTGGACACGATGTATCATGCTTCCTTGAGGTTTATTACCAACTGTAGATATCTGACCCATCACTGTGACTTGTACTTAAGAGTAAAATGGCCTTCTTTGGCCATTAGAAGACAGGGGCATTGGTACACTTTTATTTATAAAGCTATGCTAGGATTGCTGCCTCATTATATTTGTACTTTGGTCACAAGGACAAATAGTGGTTCTTACTCCTTGCGTTCAAATGATCAGCTGCTGCTGTCTGTTCCTCTTGTCTGCACCGAGTTCGGTAAAAAAGCCTTTGTCCACCGTGCGCCTTTTTCGCATAACCTGTTACAGAAAGACTGGAAATTGACTGAACTGTTGTCTTTAAATGTTTTTAAATCTAAACTCAAAGGCCTACAGACTGCCTCAATAATGTGTAATTGTTTTGTGTAATTTTTTAACTTTGTTTGTTCGTATGTATTTGTTTGGAAATGTGCTGCCTCTTGGCCAGGACTCCCTTGAAAAAGAGGTTTTTGATCTCAACGGGACATTCCTGGTTAAATAAAATAAAAATACAAGTTTCAGATTTGAAATCACAGTTTTAACACAATCTTAAATTTGACATAACAATTTAACATTTAAAATATGACTAAATAAGAAAATGAAGATGAACTCTGTATTAAAATGTAGATAAAAATGAGACATTTCAAATCCTTTAACTTGTTTTGACCAGTTACCCATCCCACATTTCATTTTAGAACTTTAGATAGCTTGTCTTAAACTTCCATTCAGCTTGTACTTACAGTCTTGCAGGGAACGATTTCAGGTTTTTATTAAGAAATAAAAACAATTACTGGATTGTGATTTTACTGCGCAGATGTGTGGTGTTCTGTCATTCACTCTTTACTTACCCCCACACCGCAGATTACCTTCTTTCTTTCCATCTACCATGAAATCAAGATGAAAAACATGGAATCAGCAATTTCATAATAGTAAATGAAAAAGAACAAATAAAGTACAGACATTATAAACAGCCCAATACAATGACTATGATAGCAAATACTGCTGATGCTGTCCATAGAGCATTTCATATTTAAAATTTTCAAGTTAAACAGAGTAAAACAGAAAACATTTATTTTTAGAAATGCACTGATGTGCAGATGTGTGTTACACTGACATTCAGCTTTTACTTACACGTATCTGGTATTGAACACATTTCCATGGGGGAGCCAACTAGGATGTTAAAAAATGAGATTAAAATCTTTTATAAGAATTTTTCAAAGGGCGTTTTTCATGTCATTTATTTAAACACTGATTAAATGTATGGGATCTTCATGTGGTCTGTCCGGATGCTTGCTCACCTACCCCCATGGTCCCTGCAGTATTTACAAAGCTTGATCACCATGCTTGATTTGTCAGATTGTTTAATTATTCATTGTTCTTCTGTGTTTAGTTTCTTCCTATCAGTATTTTTGATTCTTTGTAACAAACCCTTTGAAGAAAACAAGCCACATTTTGCTTTAACTGGCATGTTTTTGGATTCTGACTTCAGGAACCTCTAAACTGGTTCTAATGTTCTGCTCTAAGTTATCATTGAAGTACTTTTATTCATGTTCATCCGCCTTTGTCTTCAGGTTGTGTGTGACAATTAGTTTTTGCTTTCGTAGTAACAAATGTATAATTCCTCTAATACTCTTCATACTCAAAACTAAAATCTTCTGATTGCTATTTTTTAAAAATACGGGGATACTGCCGTGTCTCTCTGCTCTTAACATTATCACTGCCCTGCTTTCATTCACTCAGCTGCAGGTATACATGTGTTAAATCTCAGGGATGCAGCAAACGTCCATGCACACACGTACCTTCCAATGCCAATAACTCTGCTTTGTACTTACTCATTCTAGGATGACCAAGCAATACTGATCCAAATCTTTGTGTCACTTTAAGATAAAAAAAAAAAGAAGAAAAAAAAAGAGTGAGGGTATGAGGTCCGGATTGGACAGGAAGAAATGCAAAAATTGTTTGTTGTACTTTCATTCAGGTTTTTACTTCTTGCTAGTTTCTGATCTTTGGAGATCACTTTGGAAAACAAGCAACTACTACCTAACTGCTTTGTTTTTAAGTTAAGTTTTTTAGGATTTAGAATTAACTCTATTATTCTGCAATTAAAGCAGTCATTACATTCACCTCATTGAAGTTCAGCTATCTTTATCTTCAGAGCTGTGGCTCACAGAGTTTTAGTTTGGGGATTTAAAATAAACTCACTGGGCGTCGGAATATTTCTGCGCACAAGAGGTCCTTGGATCACCCTGCTGTTGTCTTTGTTGACAGCAATGAAGGCAGTGAAAGAACTGCTCACTCCTGATTGGACACTGAGCCGCACCAACTTTTTCTTCACTTCTCCATCTTGCTGTCCTCTACTCTCTCTCTCCTCCAACTCCAGTGAGCGAATCAGAGTACGAGCACCCAACCTGTGGACTGTTAATCTGCAGACATGACACAAAAAAAACATCTTCTGTTCTAATGTCTATCATTTTACTAGATTAACTTATCAGTAACTTTGTCTATACCACTGCATCCTCTTCAGGGTCCTACAGAGGTGAAGTTTAATCCACCACTTTGGTAAAGAATCACAATGATAACATACCAAGTTTATCTGAAGACAGTAGAGTGATCCAATATATTCAAGGATACAAACATACATACATTGAAATGCATGCATGCATTCATGAACTTTGGTTAATCAAGTTTAGTTCTTAAACATTATAAAGTGTTTACTGTATAGTGTAGAAATTGTTTAATGTATAATGTTACCATTTTTATTATAATGAAATGACGTGTCCCCATTCTTATGTTTACTTTTTAGACACTCATCATCAAGCTCAGCAATAATAAGGTTCTAGATGTTAGAGTTAAATTACCCTTTAAATTTTTGGTTAAAACAGCTTCATTTATTCCTGTGTTTTCTGAATCATGAAATTTGAACTACAGGAAATGAAGCCAGTTGGTTTTGGGCAGATAATGGCTGCAACCATAGCTGGACTGGCCATCGGGCATACCGGGCATTTGCCCGGTGGGCCGCTGGCGATTTTTTGTTTTTATGGGCCCA